AAAATGCTCCCAATTAGGGAGCACAACACGATGCTCTGCAAGCAGTTTCTTGTTAGGAGCCACAGATGTGGCCACCCAAATAGACAGCTGCTTGCAGAGAAGCTCTCTCCGAGGCACGTCAGGAGGCATCTATATGAACTGACGGACGAAGTCCAGAGGTTCATTAAGCAGCCTCTGGACCCGTCAGCTTACAGACAGGCCCTGAACGGCATTCACAGGGACGCAGTCTCGAGTTATGTAGACTCAAGACCTGTGAAAGCCGTTCTAGGCACACAAACACCGGACATTGACGCGACGGAGCTCCATCTGTCTCGGGAGACCAGAACAACAATAGCCCAACTTCGCTCTGGCTACTGCAGTAGGCTGAGTAGGTTAAATGCGGACGTGCCGAACGAATGTCCGGCATGCGGAGAGACCCCTCACGACTCGAAACATCTCTTCGCATGCCCGGAAAGCCCCACAACCCGAACGGCGTCGTCCGTATGGGCCGACCCCATAGAGGCTGCACGCTTCTTGGGGCTGCCGTTAGTGGAACTCGACGAGAACGACTGAGATATCAGCCGATCTGGGCGGGGTTGTTGTAGCCGCTACAACAACAACAACAGTACTCGGCGACGGAGTCTCTCTCCCACCACAAATCCAACACCGAATTTGCGCTCCTTTACATGGCAGCTGTAGTACATGTCACAAGGCCACAGACATTGCTTGCCTTGCCCCGTCCAACACATTTTTTGGATGGCGGTGATGTCAGCTTTTATCCTTACGAGGACATCAACCTGCCGGGCAGAGGCACCTTCCCCATTAAGGGTCCGGACATTCCAGGTGCATGCCCTCAAATCTTAGTCCAAGCAGACACCCGCTTGCAGCCGCACCTACTGGTGAACAGACGCTGCAGACTTCAGTGAGCCCTTAAACCGAATAAGTCGTAGTGGCCCCACCGAAGCTTCCTCTCTTTCTCCCGTGACCCAAGGCTCCACTCGGATTGGTTACCGCACCTCGCACATGGGTTGCTCACGTTGCCCAGAGTGCGCGAAAGAGGACGCAAGAGTCGGGATTGAGTATAGCCATGCAACTGTAACTGCATACCCAGCGCAACGACTATACCCCATTGCACTCCAAGATAAACCTATTTGAATATATAATAAGATGGAAAATACTTGTTTTCGAAGAAAATTGCATCGGGAAATAACAAATTAATCAGCTGTTCATAAAACTAGCAACTTCTTGCTGGTTTCGCGTTTTCGTACTTTCTTGCATTAGGAGTTAATATTGGCTTACTCTCCGAAATTTGATAACTGGCATGTTACTGGATATTTTTTGTTGGAGAATACGAAAACAAAACTTCTCTTGAAAATTTTACAGAAATATGACGTCATAGCCCAATAGCGAAGATGGTCACTGGTGACATCGTCACTAATGACGAGTTAGTGACATCGTCGCACTTTCTGTGAATCCTAAATGTCATATAGCTGACAAAGACACTGGTGACGATGTCATGCAGGTGTACTCCTATCAAATACTTATAACAGACAATGTCTTGCAGCGGTCACTTAAAAAAAGTTCATGGCAGGACATTGTCGCTTGAATGTCATCAATAATCACTGCATGACAAAGTCATGTAAACGCCATCAACGACTAAATTACAATTTGTATGAAAAAGTCGTGAACGACTTGCATATAAATGAAGCCCAAAGTCAATAAAGACTTTACAAGACACTTAAGTGACTAATGCAGGACATTCGCTACGGGGAGGAGATTTTGTGTATTGTCTTACATATATACATACTGATAGACAAGGAGAACTTATACATGTTGGTGTTACTGGCGAATTTAGATTTACGCAGCGGCACTTCTTAATAAAATGATGTGTTTGTCTGGGGTGTTCACAGTTCGTTCCAAATTGTGTCTGAAAATGTAGACGTCTACATTTTGAGACATCTTTAGCATCAAACTGTGAGCACCCCTTTCTAGCAGTCGTCGGAAAATCGTCTCAAAACTTTGCTGGTGTTGCCAGACATTTCTTCTTTGCGTGCTTTTTTATATGTCGCCTTTCGATTTTGTTTCTGAAAAATTGTAATTATTTAATTTAATTACCAATTCCTAATATTTGTTATTTCTTCTCCTTGATTGGTTTCTTTTCATCAGAAATTGCGCTCAAATTAAATTCAGATACAGAAAACGTGCCCAATAAATAAAAAAAAATGTGATTAGTATTGCCATAATGCAACCCTGCTGCGAGGTTGCAAAATGTAGACGCGTAAAAAACATACCTTTGAGTGTGACAAAATGTAGACGGCGTCGTTTTCCAATTTTGTATGGGAAACAACAACACCACAGATTTTACGGTTAGAAAACGTCTTAAAATGTAGACGTCAACATTTTGAGACACTATTTGGAACGAACTGTGAACACCCAAATCATTTTGACATTAAGAAGTACCGCGGCGAAAATCTAAATTCGCCATTAGCACCACCTTGTATAAATTCGCCTTAGGTCGGTGTTATGCAGAAATTTTGTTTGGCAAACTGCGTGCAATTGTTGTTGCAGCAAACTCGGAGAGAGCGAGTTTGGCGACTCTCACAGCAAACTAATTTTAGGTGCGTTCGTTTAAAATCTCCAGCAGAAACCAACCAACTGCCAAATTCCGGCGAAATGTCATCTGTTCTCTCACAAGAGAGAAATATCCAAAATAGTACGCGAACAGAAAATTTGCAGAAACTTGCAAGTTAGACGAACAGCTGATATAATTTTTGTTTACATACAAAAGTGTAAAATTTAAAACGTACGAAAAGTCGTCGCAAAGTGTTATACTGACACAGTTTATTGATTAAACAAATAACTACTTATTTCTTACAAGTTTAATTAGTCGCATTTTGTAATTTTTATCTTCCAAACCATCAAATTCAATTTTGTGATTTGCGTAAATGCCAACCAGCTGTTTTTGATCAGCTGTTTCCCTGTTGGCAAATTGCTGTTGGCAAAAATTTTTCCAACAGAAACTAACAGCTTCCCCTCAAAATGAAATGTCACTTTGCTCTCTCAATTTCCCCTACTTTGCAAGTTTTTTGCGTACGCGAACGCAAAAACCTGTAAGTTTTGGTTAAACTTGAACAATTAACAGCTACGCGAACGCACCTTTTGTTTGGTCAAACTGCAGCAGTGTTATCATATACAAAAATTTTAAATTTTGCGCGTTATGTACATCTGAAATTCTCATTTCGTGTTGGCAATAGCCATGAAAACCATAATGAACGTGCAACCCTGTGCCAAACTCGACATAACCACCTCCGAGCAAACTAAGCAGCCGCCATTTAATTTGGCAAACAAAAGTTTGTCTGCATAACACCGACCTTACTGATAGATCTCTCTCAGATCTCCCCACTGGCAAATCTGCGATGACGTCATATTGACGTTACTCTCCAAAATTTCATATCAATCACCGCAATCTTGTATTCTATCGGTCTTGGCAAGTCCTTTATGGGAACCAAATTTGGCGATAACAGCTCAGTTTGTTTACTGGATATACTGAGCATAAAGCATTTGGCGATTCATATTAGTGGAGAAAAACTAAAAAAAAAATCGCCTTGGTATCTTCTTCCGATACGAGTACTTTTATCGATATCTACTCAGTACTCGGTTCAAAAGTATCGATACCAAAATTACTGGGTATGGAAAGAAAAGTATCGAATTTTTACTTGTATTTACACGTATCGTTTCATCGCTACCATCAAGTACAAGAAGGAACATGGCCATTTCGTCAACGATAAGCTCAGATATACTGAGACGATAAGCAAAGGTGAAAATAGGGAGAACATTGTAGGTGGCTGAAGGAACGATAAGAATATAATAACGTGGAAAGGAGTAAAAACCTTTATTTATTATTTAAATTGATATACGACGAATACCGAAATAAGTGCCACAGGAAGATCGGTCAGCAAAGTTTTTCGTAAATTGGGTGGAAAAGCATAACGGCGGTTACTTACATTTTAGCGTTCCTCGCGCTTTTCACGTGAAAAACTCCATTGATATAAGCGCCACCGGGTACGGGCTAAGAAGGCAGTGTTGTGTTTTGAAGCTACTAAAATAAGAGGTTATTTTGCGTAATTGCCTTTGGCCGTTGTTATATTGGATAAAAATATCGACAATTCTGAAATTTAAGACAACGTCATTTCCATAATAGCGTAAAATGTCTAGCTTTCGCAAACGGCACGTTCAAAAACCAATTCCAGGTACGCGCACGAGCCCACAAACTGGTCAAGTAATAACGTCAAGTGGCAATCCATCTCTAGACGTTGTTGTAGGTAAGTTAATAAAAACCACTTCCCAACAGATAAATCGAACTTAGTTGGTACTAAATTTTGAAATATCATTTAGGTGGCGGTTTACCTGTTGGTTCAATCTGTCTAATTGGTAAGTATTATTCATGTAATCAAAGTGCGAAAATTAGTTAACCTTCAAATTTTCTTACACTACTACAGAGGAAGATAAATACGTTACATATTCTAAGGTTTTGGCCAAGTACTTTGTTGCAGAAGGGGTAATTTCGGCCCAATCGATTTTCTTGGGTAGTTTGGATGAGGATCCACAGGAAATTATGTACAAATTGCCGAAACCACTTAATGACGATGAAGTGGAACTGGAGAAATCTGCCGAACAGGAAAAAGAAGAAACTCCTAAAAACGGTCTTCGAATTGCCTGGCGTTATAATGATCTTCCACCTGTGAACTCGGAACAAACTCCTAGCAAGATAGGACACCACTTTAACTTAATGGAATATATGGATAAAAATTTACAAGACTTTGTGGATACAGTGCTTTGGAATGGAAATTCGGATGAAGATGATGATAAATTGGGTGATGGCGAAGAGGTTTTCCTGCGCTCTAAGCCAATTGTTCCTCCAAAGGATAACGCCGGTGAAAACAATGCCAACAACAGAAATGAAAGCAACACTAGTTGCATAGAGGTGGATTTAGGGCAAGAAATGAGAAATGCAGCACCCGATGAATTTCATAGATCTACAAACCCATCAACAAGCATTCAAATTGCAAATAACGCTCAAATCAATCAGCAGACGTCCCCAAGTTCAAATTTAGATAATAAGATTCAAGCGCACTTACGTCTGCAGAATGAACAGAAAATTTTCAACAATCCGAATTATCAGCATCTCCTCAAATCGGTTCAATTATTAGCCAGTGAAGAAAAGTTTGCAACAGGCTCCTTGTTGTATCGTAACCTTTGTAGAATTTGTATAACATCACTGGGATCGCCGCTGTGGTACGACGAAAATTTTTCCCAAAATATTCTTAAGTTTTTAACAATTCTAAGAGCTATAGTTCGTAATTCGTCCTGTGTATGTCTCATCACCATACCTATGAATTTGATCGCGAAGTTCGTAAGTATATATAAAACTTTGCTATGTAAAGTAATCTTTTCTAAAACGTTTCTCTACAGGATGAGACGCTTGTGCCGAAAATACGCAATTTAGTGGACTATGCTATAGAATTAGAATCATTTGCAGGATCAGATCGGGAAACAAATTTAACATTTAAAGAGTACAATGGTCTGTTGCATTTGCATAAAATAACAGCCGTTAATACTCTTACAGCGTATATACCGGAGACTTCTGATTTGGCGTTCAAATTACGGCGAAAGAAGTTCGTCATTGAAAAGCTTCATTTGCCCCCAGGTAAAATTTAACAATATTTAAGTATTTTGACTAGTTTTCAAGTTTTAATTTTACAGAGCTGCAAGAAGATGGTACTGAAAGTAAACATACAACTGGTTGTGGTGCTGGCGTTGCGTCCAGTGCTGCCTCCATGGATTTTTGAGCACCAACGACCAGTGTTCGGCGAAAGCATTTCTTGCAGTTCAACGATATACTTGTGCGCACGACAATGTAAGTGGTTGCTAGCTATTTGTATGGTGCAACATTAGCATTATCTATGTTTTAATGGTTCCACCATAGTCGACAGCGGGAAGGCGTACATTAATATTAAGAGTAACCTGAACATGAATAGCAATAATTGGTTAGCTTCATTCGTAAAATAAAAGTAATGTTTTTATAAAAATTATAATTTCTTCAGCAAATTATGCAAATTTTATTCTTCATAACTAAAGTTAAACTGTTTTCACGGTCAGAAGTACAAACATCACGATTCCAACAGGTACGGCAATTTGAGCAAAATTGGTATCTGTGTGGCGATTTGGATGTCAGGTTTATGCTGAAACACTTTGCACAAAGTTTTGTTGTCCTGAACTCGTTAAGCATTAGAATATTCACACTAACTTATTTAACGAGATAACGACGTTCACAATACCATGCAAAAGCGATAATCGAATAATAGTCGTTTATCTACTACCAGTCGACACTCGCAGTGCAGTGTTAACTTTTTAACCCAAATCACTTGATTATGGTCGATATATTTTAAGGATTCCAATTAAAGTATTCGCAACCATTTGATAATTATAATTAAAGTAATCGGAGGAATCCTAAAAATTTTCTGGCTTACAATTACAGTAATCATAAGTGCCCAGATCTGCATTTTTGGGAAGTTGAGTAATATTCTCCCGTCAAGCTTATTAATTGCATGATAAAATCTCCAAAAGGGTAAATTTTGAATCAACTTCCGTACGTGCCCTAATTATTCCATGCATTGATTTAAAAAAAATAAATTTGTTCGCCAAGTTTACGGAGATCCCGAATAACGACATCCGTGATCGAATGAATGCTATTTTGGAACCGAATGAAAGAAATTTACTGTTGTTTTGAATTTAAATTGACTCTTTATCGAGTGCCGATATCAAAATTCCATGATTCGAGCCCTGGATTTTTATATTAGCTATCGACAACCGGTATGCAATAGTAAGCTTCCGGGATTATTTTGGCCATGGAAACTTCTCAAAAATCTTCTCGAGTTCGGACCCGGTATAAAGTAATACCTTCTATTTGTATGATAAATTGAAGATTTACCCCGGAATATCGAGGGAAAGCTCGACCTAAAACCGAAGCGGTAAAACTCTGATCGCCAAGTACATATTTATTTACTTTATCTTTACATATTTTTTAGTTTTTTTTTTCATTACTCTATTTAACCTTAGCAGCCGCACTAGCTATGGTAAGGGTTCCGCATCACAGCGCAGACACAGGAAAATCAAAAATTACATGAGTACACACATATGTATGTACACATGCATACATAGTCACTTCGACGTATTCGCGCGTTTGTATTGTAGTCGCTTGGAAAGAGCAAAACCTATTGTCAGTTTGCTTATCTGCGCCCACAAAACGAGAATCATTGCGACCAGAGCGAAGGTGTTGTGCTCCAAACTACAGACAAATGAATATATGTGCATGCTCCGATCTAAATCGCTCTTTCAATCAATTGTTGCACGTTGAGTGCTCATCGCCACCAGAAACCCAAAACTCGTAAAATCAGTTTTATTCAGCGTACGCTTCGCAACGGTCTGACTTTTAGATGCGTATACAATTACAACAATTTACACTGGCTAAGCGGCGGCGCAATTTTAATTGAATATAAAAAATTTAGGGACTGATCTACTTCTCTCACCGCCTACGAAACCATTATCCGTTGATATTGCATCAAATTATAATCATCGGATTCTTCTTGCGGTTGCAAATGGGCTCGTCACTCTGATAAATTGATAGACAGAAATAAATTTAATCAATGGCGTTCTTGCACAATCACAAGGTTTTACTCAATTGTTGCAATCTTCTGTTTTTGGTAAGTCTAACTAATGTTAAACTATTTTCACGTACATACATATATAAAAACCTGTAGTTAGTCGTTATAGTAATACACATTTGTAAAAAGAAGCCATAATTTTAAGGCAGATTTTAAAAGGTTTTCGTTATACTTATCGGGTTTACGAAAAGATTGTCATAATTCAAAAAATTAAATTTTTTCAGGATACACGTTTATAGTCTTCAATATTTATTATGCATCATTTACTCAAAAATTTCGTTTCCTGAGTTATTAGTCTTTAGAGCGACATGTGCATACATATTGTGTGTATGTATGTAAATATCGTTGACTAAATATGAATGCATGTATGTACATACATACTAGGGATGTTTCGAATGTCATATTCTTGACATTCACGAATGCGAATGCGAATGTTAGGAATAACATTAAAAATACTATAATCAACTAAGTCATAGTTTAGTGCTTAACCTATACAGTCTTTTAAATCAGTAGCCAAAGTTCAAAAGGGGCATATTATATTAAAAAAAAAAAGTTATTTTGCTGTCTTTTCTCCCATGAGGTGATTTCTAAGATGCCGTCTGCACTTAACAATAGCTCACTTGGAACGGTGGCGGTGGATGTCCATAGGTATACAGTAGATAATTTCAGGAGTTAAAAGCCTTTCTGAAATGCCTTCCACTCTACATTCCATTCTCCTTTCTTTTTTGTATGGAGTGGCACAAATTGAAAGGCTTCTTCTTTCGCTACCCATGGAAGGCCTTCCAAAAGGGCTTTTATAGGACATACTTCAGAAGGACTTTTGGGGGAGTTCTCTTAAAGTTGCTTCTTTAATTTATAAAAATCATACATCTTTGAAGTATTTTTGCTTGCGGTTTATATCAAACATGTGTTATTCTTCGGTGTTGTTGATTTTCAAATAATTTTATGGTTTATAAATTAGTTTTTATTAAAACTAGTTCACTTATTTTTTTTTTTAGTTTTGTGGTGTAACGCTTGTAGTTTCCGGTTTCTATTTGTTCACCGATTCTAAGCGTATCTTGCTCTCCCGCTTGCTAGCAGCTACAAGTGAACAACTCAACGATTTACCTCAGCCCTTATTTTACTATATTGCGATTGGTTTCGCTTTGGCAGGATTGGTGGCTGTACTCTCCGCCATAGCCGGCTTCTGGGCGTCTTGCTTGCACACCTACTGTTGCCTCAGTTTGTATTTCCTCGCCGTAATCGTACTGCTTTTAGCTGAATCGATGGTCTGCCTGGCAATCACATTGTGGCCACACTGTCTTGGAATAACCTTGGACGAGTCAAAAATGGTGAAGGCCCTGCAGGGAAACTATGGTGTTCCTGGTAAGGAGCAATTTACTATTGCCATGGACTTGGCACAAGCGCGATTCGGCTGCTGCGGAATGAGTAGTGACATCAATTATGATACATCTCTCTGGAAATTGCAGCGCTATGGCCAGCGCGAGTGGGTGGTACCGCTCACCTGTTGCATTTTAAAAAATGCGAACGACAAACTGTCCTACTTGGATCCGAAGCCAGTGAATGAGACACAATGTCAAACATTGCAGAAGGTGGATTTCGCCGACTATCGACACATGTCACCATGCCTAAGCTACTTGGACACCTGGTATCGTGAGCAGTATGTGGTGTTTTTGAGCGCTAGTCTCATAGTTGCTATTGTCGAGTTTTGCGTATTGCTAACTATCATTTTTAACTGTACAAAGGTACAAGAGTTACAAAACGTGAGAGGCAAAACCCGTCAAATGTTGGTGGAGAATATTTACGGACCAGTAAATTCGAACTTTGAACGCCATGTGGAAAATGCTTACTCTGAAGATTTCAAGGGTGTGTACATACAACCGCGTGAGCTCCATAAACAGAGACACAACACCACCTTTAAACCGATAGCTAAAGATTACAGTTCTCAGAAACGTTAGCTTAAGGGAAAAACGTGTCTTGCCCTAAAGGTGCAATATGAACTTGTTGACAAAGTGAATTGATCTAGCCTGAAACTATGTGAGGCCGAAAATAAGCTTATAAGAATTTTGTATTTTTGTATTGTAATTATGTACTGTATTTTAAGCTTATAAGGATTTTGTATTTTTGTAACGTAAATAAATATAATACCAAAGTGCAAATATATACATTTGTACATTGTATTTTAAGCTTATAAGAATCTTGTATTTTTGTAACGTAAATAAATATAATACCAAAGTGCAAATATATACATTTGTACATTGTATTTTAAGCTTATAAGAATCTTGTATTTTTGTAACGTAAATAAATATAATACCAAAGTGCAAATATATACATTTGTAAATATATATTCGACTGTGGTTATCTTTATATTTATTGCTTCATACCATAACATAAAACATCAAGTAAATGTAATTCCAAGGTTCAGTCGTCCTCATCAGAACTATCCATAAGGTGACGAATACGCCTTCGCTTCTGAATCTTAGCAACTACTTTGAAATTTCCACGTGCACGCCGTCGTTCTTTTAAAATGCGTTCAGCGCGTTCCAGAGGGCATATAGTTTGGTCTTGTGCATCCTTAGGTTCTTCATCATCTTCTTCACTTACTACGAAGGAATCGCAAACGTACTGAGATGGCTCTGCAGGAGCAGGTTGTGAATAAACCTGATCATTAAATTCACGAAAAGAGGGAATCTTGAAGTTACGCCGTAAATGTTTTGGACTTCTAAATCGTGAAATACATAAAAAAATACTCGTTACTTTCGCGAAAATTATGTAAATATAATTAAATAAGTAATTTTTAAGCAAAAAACAAAACCGACTTCAATTCTCATATACAAGTTGATCGGATTTAAACCATATTAGTATGCCTGCGGTAACACATTTCCTTAAAAAAAATAAAAATAAAATAAAAAAACAATTATTGAAATCGGTTGCCGTGGTCCAGTTATGCGGTACAATACATAAAAAAAAATGTATATATATATATATATATATATATATATATATTCCCACGAATTGATAACCTTTTCCTTTTTTTGAAGTCGGTTAAAAAAAAAACATGCATTAGTGTATGTCAATAGCCTTGTTTAATGAAGAAGTTCTCACCGAATAATTGTTCTTCATGAGAAATTGCAAGACAAATATATATTATTTCAATTTTCTTCTTTCCACGTCAGTTGTGTAACAAAAGTTAACGGGTTAAATCTATGAGTATAAGTGATACTATGTACCTGACCGATTGAAGATAGTACGCATGCATCTGTGTTGTAGTGGGTGCATTTTCGTCGAAAGTCTCCACTTCGTCACTGGATACAATCATAGAATCTTTTACATACTGGTTGCATGGTATTTCATTTAATTCTTCTTCACTC